TCCATCCCTGGGCACCTACATTTGTTTCATTTTAAATAAGTCCCTTTTCTGTCTACCCTTGCTGGCCACTTCCTCACTTTTCTTATTTTTCCTTTTTAGGAATTGGTCATTTCACTCTCAGAGAGTTTCTTTTTTTAATGTTGAATATTTTACTTTTATCATCATCAATTTTCCAGTCTCTGGTTCAATCAACACTGTGCTTTGAGCCCATACCAGGAGTTAAATGGGGGGAATCCTGCTGTGAAGAATACATCTGTGTCCTCGCGAAGTTGATGATCTGTCTTTCTACCCTTAGCACTTTCCCTCTCTTTAAAACATAGCTTATTTATTTTAAAAATTTTAAAACTAAAGATCAGTGCAATTTAAAATATATTTTAATCCAGAGCTTTTCAAAAAGCCCACTCTCCTAAAAAGGCCACATCAATGGTTAAGATTACAGTAGCAGTTTCCCCTCAGCCCACTAGAGGGCGCGCACATTTTTTTTTTTTTTTTTAATTCCAAAAGAAATCACTTGGTGGGTAACAGCCTGTAAAGTTCAAAGGTTGTGTCTCCTTTTCCCATTTTCTATTCAACTTGGGACAATTGTGGTGAATCCTCAGATCCTCTCACTCCACCAAGCCATCCTCGCCCCATGCAGTGACTCCTCATCTGCCTTTTCGACAAATTCTTTTGCTGCTCCCAAACCACAGCAATTCTGCTTCTGCCTGCTTTCCGCATCTGCCCTTTTGACATTTTAGAAGAAATAAGATCCACGTTTGATGTTGAAAAGGACACATTGATTTCCTTAGTGAGAGGATTTTCCCTAGTTGTGGGGAAATGCTCCTGTAAGGATTTAAAGCAACTCCTTTGAGCTACATATGATCTTTCTGAGGAATAACAGAGCCCCTTCTGAGCAGGTCTTTGGAGCTGACATTAGTCCCTTTGTGTGTCGGCACGGTGTGTTTTCTGAGGTCCAGCCTTTTCCTCTGAGTTTTACATTCTGAATTGACAAGCTCATGATCCTAAACTTTGGAGAATATTCTTCCAGACCAACCCTCCCCACAAACCATGATCCAGGACACACATCCAATAGTTTCCCCAAGTTCTTTGCCTGGTGGGTGGCCCTAGAACCTTAGACCTCACCCTTTATTTGCTTCCAAAGTCCTCCTACCTCCAAATATCCATTCTGAGCTTTTCTTGGGAGTCAGCAAAAACATTAATAAAATAACTTGGAAATATGCCCTATTGCACATGGATATAAAATTACCTTTTGGGATCAGCTCCTCTGCAGTTGGCATGGAGAAGGCTGGCAAGATGGTTCGAATGGAGTGGGGACTGGGCCTTGCTTACCCCTTTTCTGTGACTCTCACACTCAGCCTGTGCTTTAAGAAGATGAACAGCTTTGTGTTTTTAAAGGAAGGCATCAGAAATCTTCCGAGGCAGCAGCTTACTGCAAATATGCTACTCAAGAGGTAGGCTTTAGGGTAGAGTGTGTATACCCCCTAAGCATTATACACCTAAAAAGTGAAACTTGAATCTGAATTTCTAGGAGTGTGTGTTCTCATGATGAGCACATTTGTGCACTTAGCTATTTTGTTGGCATACAATTCCCATAGCTGCCAGCTTGTCCCGGGCAGGAGACTACACAGCCCTTCAGTCATTGTAGAGAGAGCCCATATGTTCTCTCCAGTGAAACTCCAGGACCTGAACTCATCTTAGAGATTAGATTTACTCTTACCTCGGACTCTCTCGTAAGAGGTGCCTCCATTTGCTCAGCCATTAAAAAGTAGTCATGTGGCGTATTTATTACCCTTTTCCCTTTCAAGTTGGCTCTGGAATTAGCAGAGAATATGGCAATTTCTCTCGGAAATTGCTGCCCGGTTCTTTGGTTGGCTCATCCTACCCAGACATGTAGACCATTCCCCACAATGAAATATACAACAATCACTTTGGGAAATTGCTTTCCCTGTTGGAACAGGGAGTGTTTCCACAGCACAGCTGATGATAATTACGACTGATTAAAATTACAGTTTTATTTGTGACATAAAAACTGGGACATAAATTAAAACTCAATTATCCTTTAAGGATAATTGGGGTTACAAAACCAAGAGACTGGGAGTCAGTAGGTGGATATCACAGGAGCGCAGAGTCTGGTGGAGTGGTATGTGTTGGGTCTCCCGAAGCAGCCTTTCACAGGCCATGGTTGCCCAGGGCACACCAGAGGTTATACCAGACCAGGTTCCAGCCTTGGAGAGATGCAGTGAGCCCGTAGGACAGTGGTTGGCAACTGCAGCTCGTGAGCCACATGCGGCTCTTTGGCCCCTTGAGTGTGGCTCTTCCACAAAATACCATGGCCTGGGTGAGTCTATTTTGAAGAAGTGGCATTAGAAGTTTAACTTTTAAAAAATTTGGCTCTCAAAAGAAATCTGTTGTTGTACTTGTTGATATGTGGCTTTGTTGACCATGAGTTTGCCGACCAGTGCCCTAGGACATCCTGGGAAAATTCAAATATGCTAGCCAAAACTGGTTTGGCTCAGTGGATAGAGCATTGGCCTGCGGACTGAAAGGTCCCAGGTTTGATTCTGGTCAAGGGCATGTACCTTGGTTGCGGGTACATCCCCGGTGCGGGGTGTGCAGGAGACAACTGATCAATGTTTCTAACTCTCTATCTCTCTAACTCTCTCCTTTTCTCTGAAAAAAAAAATCAATAAAATATATTTTTTAAAAATAAATAAAATATGCTAAAGCTGCAATAAAATATGAAAGCCTTGGCCTTCACCTGCAAAGGTGCCTGGTGATGGAGCAAGGAGCTCAGAGATAAGACTCCAGCCAGTACCTGACACCGCACAGGTGGAATGGCAATTCTTTCTTCCTGGAAGAGAGATACCGCTCTTTGGTTATATAAACTCATCCTCAAAGTCTGAGAGGAGGACAGACTTTGTTTTCCCCAAAGGGGGTGATCTGCAAAAGCTGCAGAGAAAGAGAGACTTTGGGTACATTGAGTCATAAATGCATGAAGAGGATATCATTAAAGGAAGCCTTGCCTTTTCCTTAAGGTACAGGAATTGCCCGCACACCTGCAGATGCCTACCTGGCCATCTCTTGATGATGCATAGTTGTATTCTCTTCAGGTCAAATCATATCCACTAAAACTTCCCAACCTTGGACCCAAAGCCTCCCATGATCCATCCTTCTCTCCATTCTGGACTTTCAGCCAGGTTTCAGTTCCCTGTCTTTCTAGAGAATGTGCACCTCCCCCACAGTGTGCACTGTTCATATTTTTAAAAGAGAGGATACCCACCACATGACTGTGATGATCAAATTTCCTTTTTGTCTGTGCCACTCAGCCGAGAGCCCTGTGGTGCCTCGACCATGGTGCGTGTAGTTAGGCACATAGTAGGCACTCACTATATGAGGCTGACTTTGTGCACCATTAAAATGGCATTAAATTCAAATAATTTCTAACTTTTCTTCCTGGAAGGTGGATCTCGCTGTAAATGTTTAACTACACAGAAGAAGGATCAAACCGAACCCTCTTCTGAAACCAGCCAGGTTTGCACTGACACCTGCAATCAACTTTCTGTCCACAGGGCAGCATGGCATTCCAGACCACGGTTTCCAGCAGACCTCTGCTGTCAGAGGACAATCACAAGAGGGAAACACAGGGTCCAGGTTATTCCCACCATCCCGGGAAGCCATGTCTGGCTGGCCGTGCAGGGAAACTGGTATATCTTATCTGGACTTTCACAACTTTATTTCATAATCCACTTTCTTATCTACAACCACACAAAAACAGAGAGAAATTGGTACAGACTCTATTGACAAGTGATCAGAACTTTATTCTTAATGGCGAAGGCAATCGTTTATTATAAATAGCAAGACAGCTGGCTTAGGCTATATTGCCAGCCATCCAGTGGAGGGATTTGAATGACATCATAACCCTTGAGAGGGCATTGCTAGCCAGCTGGTGTTATTTAGAACACACAAACACTGGAGAAAGAAAACACACGCACACACACACACACACACACACACACACACACACACACACGAGTTTAGAGTTATGCAGAAAAATATGAACAATGGGAAAATAGCTTGCCCTTTCCCCTTGGGGGTAGATGGGCGGGGGGGTGGGGGGAGAGGAATGATAGGTAGCCTAGTAGAAGAAGGAAGAAAAAAAGATTTTATTTTTTCAATTGGCTTTGCAGCTCAGCAAAGTCTTTGCCCTGTCGCGGGCAAAAAGCATGAACCAGTGTGTCGTCTAAAGGGAGCCAATTGCACTGCTGCCTGCCCCTTTTCTAGGTTCTGGGAAATGAGATCATTTCTCTGGCTTGGCAAGTAGGACAAGGGGTCACCCCAGTGCCGTCTTCCAACTGAGTCCACCTTAGTCATTTCAGGGTTAAAATCGTAGGTTTGCTTGGGGTATCTTGGCTTCGCTTTTTTATGTTGCGTTTGCTCTAGAATGTAAAATTGCTTGCCCACCTGCCACATACCCTCCTTTAATACTGATAAAGTGTATGAACAGATGTGTGTCTTCATGCCCAAGAGAAAGTTAATCAGAGAACAGATTCTCATCTCCTATAGTAGCATCAATATTTTTAATATCTGTTCACCCTATCACCAACACACCTTCTTTTAAGAGAAGGAAAAAAAATGCTTCTGTGCTCTAGTTTTAAAATGCAAAGGTATGATGTTATTTGTCACCCTGCCCAAAAAAGTCCTTACTCGATAACTTTGCCAGAAGAGGGAGAGAGAGAGAAGGCAAATGTTCCCCCAGCTGTTTCCTGTCTACAGTGTCTGTGTTTTGTAGATAAATGTGAGGATTTTCTCTAAATCCCTCTTCTGTTTGCTAAATCTCACTGTCACTGCTAAATTCAGAGCAGATAGAGCCTGCGCAATGGAATAAAGTCCTCAAAATTGAAATGTGACATTGCTCTCAACATCTCCCATCTCTCTGGATTTCTTCTTGCCTCATTATTCCTGCTAACCAATTCATTTCCAGACTTTGCACTTCACAAGCAATGGGAAAAATCAGCAGTCTTCCAACCCAATTATTTAAGTGCTGCTTTTGTGATTCCTTGAAGGTAAATATTTCTTACTCTTTGAAACCATTGGGGGATTTGCTTTCATTTGTGTGCTGTTTTGCTTCTGCCTAGAACTGTTATTCACTTTAGAATTTTCATTGTTTCGGAACTGGGAGTTATTTATAAATTGCTGAATGTGCAATTCTGGGGAATTTGAAAAGATAGCTCCGGGAGATAGATGTCTTTACACAGAGATATATATGAGTAGAAACTATTGCCAGGTGTTTATACTAAATCCTCCACTTTGCAGGAGGTCCGGTGGTGTCTTTAGAGAAGATTCCTTTTAATCCTGTCTATGGTTAAGGGCTATCAAGAGGGGATATGAACTTGGGGTTTTTTAATTTTTTTTTTTTTGCAGGTGCAGATATTTAATTTAAAAAAATTGTTCCCGTGTGTGTGTGTGTGTGTGTGTGTGTGTGTGTGTGCACGCGTAACCTGTCAGGATTTTTATTACATGGCATACCACAGACAGAGGATTATATTTTAGATGATATTAAAGCTTTTAAATATGATCTTTGGAGCTAAGGTCCCGGAACTCTCTGCACTTCTGCCCAGAAGGTCCAAATTAGAGAGGAGTTTCATTTGCTCTTGAAAAAGAACTTGACAACTCTTGCTGACCTTGTGTACTCGCATAATTTAAACAAATGCATACTGTATATGGGAAGCAGAAACTTTCTAGTAGCTGTTGGTCCAAGTTTTCTAGTTTAAAGAGGACTTTCTCGGGTGAAGTTTGGGCTTGGGGGAGGGTGTGTGCTGTAAAACTCTGATTTTTACACTCGGTGCTACAAAGTCTCTTTAGGTCAATTTGGCTGCCACCGTCCGAGCAGCGACTTCTCATTTCCAATCACTGGCCCCAGTTCAAATTTCCCTTCTCAGCAAAATGATATCCTTCAAGACTTGTGTTTTTCCAATTTGCAAGCCTTTTTAAGCTGCTGTCACTGGTTCCCCGATGAAATTGCCTGAGGTCTCAATTCATAAAATGTCCCTGCCTCTGAGTACAGCATTTATTTGCTGCTTTCAAATACTCCACTGCTGGGATTTTTCTGAGTAAGTGGCTTAGGAGTTAAGGATCCATCCTTGTCCGGGCACCTGCTTCTGCTACCCTTGAGATGCCAAGACCCAGGCTGGCTACTTTGCTTTTAAAAAGAAATCAAGTCAACATGCATATATGCTATGTGGTCTGACAGCTGGGGGATTTCTCTCCCTCAAAGAGGCCGTTGAGTGTTATGTCTGCCTTAATTACAAGTTTGGAAAACTGTCTCCAAATGAACTTTCCATGCTGTGTATGCTGAACTTTTCCAAAGCAGAGCTAGCAATAAGTTGTCCCTTTTTCCTGCGTTGGGGGCAGGAAGTGGTTTGAGGGAGGTGAGTGGTCTTTCAGATGTAATTCAGGGAGTAAAGATGTCTTATCTGGAGGCAGAATTCACAAGATGATGGATTGTACTCTGAGTCTCAAGACATTTTCCAAGTGTTTGAGTCAGAGGGAAGAGGGTAAGGGAGAGGGCTGGAGCCTGGGTCACTGGGTGGGGTACATGGAAATGGGTATCTTGATTGAAGGGAAAAGATTGACTCAAATCCAAGTTGTATAATTTGCTCATTGTTTGAATGGACAAAAGGCAGTTTACCCAGACTCATAGCATACCTGCTTGGGTGTCCAAATGTAACTAGATGCTTTCACAAACCCCACCCACCAAGCAGCACATGCTTTTAAGTTCTCAGTTTTCTATTCACATCAGCCTCATAATACCCACCCTGACCTGCTGTAAAAGATCTGGAACACACAAAAATGGTTACACCTACAGTGAGTATTTTCTTATGACTATTGCCCTCAACTTCTGCTGGGCATTTTCATTGTAGCCCAGGCATCTGGAATCAATTGATATTCCATTGATTTAAGATAAAAAGAAAAGTCTTTTAAATTTTGGATTTGTGGGGATTTTTTAGAGTGTTCTGAATTTTTTTTCTTCCTCTTTTTTTCTCTTCTTTTTCTGGTTCTTCCTTTTCTTTCTCTCTATCATATTTTTCCTTTCTCTCTCTCTCTATTTCTTTTGTGTTTGGAAGGAATTGATGAACATATAGGGCCACTTGTTTCAAACTTTTAACTCCTAAACAAGTTAATTATTGTTTCCTGTTTTGGGGCACATAATGTGATAAATTCTTTGGTTCTTTGTGGGTGTACTGAACTGTTTGGTGAGCTAAAGGAGCATGCATTAAAGGTTCTGTCTTATCCTAGAACTGTACATGCTGACATTTATCTGACAATATAATTAAGCAAAAGAGAAAAAACTGTAGAAAAATATTAAATTCTTAAATGCTAGAGATTTATATATATTGCTGGGCTTAAATGTGTTATACCAGAAATAACTATTTAAAATATAGTTTTGAATTCTAACTGATGTTATCAATTCACTAAGTCTGTATGTTGATTACCTTTCCCCCCTGGATTGCATGACAACTAAAGAACTCAAAGGCATCTATATTTGCTACTGTTTGGCTTTGAACATTATTGTGGAGAAATAAGGTTGATAGCATAAGGATACATCTTAGAACTGACCCATTGTCAGAGAGTGAGTATATTCTGTAAGATCAATTACAAATAGCTCTTTTGAAAGGGCACTGAAGTGCAGTTGGGTTGGTTTTGTTGAGGTTTCCACTGGAAATATTGAAGGGGAAGAGCCCCACCAATTATTTTATAACTAAGGAAAATGAGGATTGGTTGATGATTGATTCTAGAAGTCTCAGTGGTTTGGGCTTCGTAGGGGTGAGGGGTTTCCATAAGACTCCAATAGAGTCCTATGGAGAAAATGGAAGAAATGTTCAATTGTGTTGTGCTTTTACCTCCTCTTCTATTTATGATGGTTTGCAAATAGAAGGTGTTTTTTTGTATTCAACTGTTTAACAAGAGTCCAGGGTTTAAGCCTCCTCTCCCCCAATTTCTGAGCTGAAGGTTTGGCTACCAACATGGAAATCTTAATTGAAAGGATGGGGCACACTTAGCCACTGATGTAGAAGCATTAAGTGGAGAGTGCATGGAGAGCAAGGGGCAGAGAATCAATGACTTGAGTCTGTTTCTCCAAAAGTTATGGGGTTGAATGGACCTTCCCCTACCAGGAGGTTCCAAAGAGGCTCCTATTATCCTGATAACATCCAGGCTATCTCCGTGACCTTTAATGGGGTCATTCACTTAACCTCTTCTGATGACTCTTCCAATGTTGTTGGAAGTAGAATGCATCTAGGAACAGGGAAGCTGCTCGAGCAGGGAGCCTTCCTGGAAGAAACCACAGCCCTGTGCCACCAGGAGCAATGTGGAAACACTTAGTGATCACCTTAGCCTAGTTTCTTCTACTGAGAGTGAGGATGGAGCTGTGAGCCCCAGGAATTACACCTCTGGCAGGGCTGCCATCTGGCTGTCTGTCATTGTGAAGTGAAGCCAACCAGGGGTCCTTCAATATATTTTGCTATAAAATGGATCCAGTGTCACCTAAGTCCCTCCAAGAGGTGAAGTCAGAATTCTTGGGTCTTAAAAAAAAAAGCTTTTGTAGGTTTTGAGCCTAGTGCCCTGTTCATGAACGGCATTCTCTACACACATGTTGATGTGATATTGAGCTTGACACAAAGGGATTTAGAATGCAGAAAGAGTAGGGTCTACTTAGCAAGAGTCAATTTCATTACTCAATTCTCACATTTTTTTCTTGTTTCTGTTTTTTTATATTTCCACTGTGGTTGTGTTAACTTCTGTAGTTTATCCCCTAGGTAAGAAATAAGAAATCTCCCAGGTAAGAAATCTCTCTCTCTCTCTCTCTCTCTCTCTCTCTCTCTCTCTCTCTCTCCTCCCTCCCTCCCTCCCTCCCTCAATCTTAAGTGACAAAAAAAATCTCTATAATGCTATAGAGTATTTTTAAAAGTCCTTTTTTAGCCACAGTAAGTTCTTTTTAAATCAGTAGCTACAGAAGGATGTTCTGGTTAATTTAATATTTTGGACAATAATGAATGCATATGCCATCTATGGATGGCCTGCCTTTAGAGGATGTAAATTAATAAAAGATATTTGGCACCAAATCTGGACTGAGCACAATTTAACTTTTGATAATTCAAAAGGTTGAGGAACCCATAAAGAAGGGGTCCAGGGAGGACTTCTCCAAAGTTTCCTAGTAGCAAGGGGATTACACACAGATCATTTGGTGTCCAGATGTGCTCACCCCAGGCCACCCTGTGGTCTCTCATGCACGCTTCTGTGCAGAGTGGTTCTGATTCATGACAGTAATGGAATGTAGGGGGGAGGGTAGTCAGTGCATCAGTGCCCCCCCCCCCAGTCCTCTTGCAAAAACCCAGGAGGAAACATGACCCTCCTTCTGTTTCCTCGGCAGGTAAAGTTGCCCATCATGTCGTCCTCCCATCTCTTCTACCTGGCCCTGTGCTTGCTCACCTTCACCAGCTCTGCCACAGCTGCGCCGGAGACACTCTGCGGGGCTGAGCTGGTGGACGCTCTTCAGTTCGTGTGTGGAGACAGGGGCTTTTATTTCAGTAAGTAGCCCTCCCTCTCTCAGCTCTGTGGATTTACAACCGCAGAGTGTGTGTGAACAACTGAATGACTGCCGGTGGCTGGCGGCCACCCTCTCAGCCTGCGATTCCTCACCTTAAAGTAAGCCTAGCGTTTCAGTGGGGCCATGGCAGGTTTTGTAGATTTCAAATGGAATTTTCCTCCTTAGCAGTTTGCCTTTTAACTATTTCCTGATGGGCACTCGGGCAACTATTATGCTCTTCCTCACCATTCCCACTCTCTTCAGTGAAGGGAGGGGACAGAATGACCCTCGGGGATTGAGGTTTTTGTTCTCCACACCCTTGTGTGCACATGGAAACATATAGAAACATGTGAACCTGTTTGAAGTGCCAAATAATTTGGAGTAAAATAATAAGGTGGACTTGGGGGGAAAATTAAGAGGGCACATCCCATATGTCTCCATGCTATATGAAATCACCAGGAACAGACAGAAGTTGAACTTCCCTCAAAGGTACGTTTGCAAATGCACAGGCTCTCTTAAATGTGAACGGAAATACCAGGTTCATTTGCCCTCTACACAAATTGACCTTGAGCTTTTATTTACTGCCTTCCTTTGGCGCAGCCTTTTTCTGAGGCTCTCCAGTGAGATCACCATCTGGAAAGGGGTTCCTGACAAGTGTGGCGTTACTTATTCCACACGGAGGTCTCAGGTGATTAAAAAGTCGACAGTCAATAAAAAGTAGATGGCCAAGTCAACAGTTGCAAACAATAAGCATAAACAAAAGTTGGTGCTGCCTGAGGAAACGCATCACTTAGAGAATCAATGCCAGAAGCTTGTATATTACAGAACAGTGAAATCTGATGCCAGACGTTCATTCTGTATAATTTTTTTTTTTTTGGAATTTCAGAGCGTTCCAGAAAACTGATGCTCAGGTCCTCAGTGAGCATGAATCATTCTTAGAGCTTCATATCACTCAAGTGTAGACAGCTTACCTCAGTCACACACTAAGTTTTGAATAGCTCCCGGGTTGACTCACACATTTCAAGTCTTTCTCATCTTCTTCCCAGGGAAGCTGGTGGGTGTGAGGAAGGTGTATAGGAGGAGCACTGGGATAGGAGTCCATGTATAGGGTTCTGGGGTGGGTGGAGGGATGGAAAGGAAGAAGCTAAAAGGAGGACTGATGATCTGTACACATTGTGGATTTGGCAAGAAATAGAATTTAAACAACCAATGACAGAGAACAAGATGTGCTTTCTACTATTTGTAAGGGCAAAATCCCACTCTGTTTCCAGCCAATAATTTAATTGAGCTAATTTATCTATTTTTCTGACAATAAAGTGATTTTTGTCCAGCTCCTGATTGTACTGCAGATAAATGAGTTCACCAGGTGGGTTCTTATCAAGCAGCAGACTTGTTTTACAAAAGGCAAATGTGTCGCATCAACTTCCCTCAGCAGTGGGTTGTCATTAATCTTTACTGTGCTGCTACTGGTCTACATGAAAAACGAATAAGTAGTCCTCACTTATTATGCCCAAGAGGATTTCTCTCACCTTGATAATCCACTTGTGTAGTTTCCTTTGATCCAGTTCACCAGGTGATTACCAAGCCCACAAGTGTCTTCTGTTATGTACCAGGTTGAAGTGTCCTGTCAACGTGATATGCTCCAGGATTTCCATGCATAGTACATGGAAACTGGATCCTCCAATGATGATGATGATGGTAAAAGTGAGAATGGAAAGAATGATTTCATCCCAAGTAACCCCATGGTACATATATATGTTCACATTGACACTTAAGAGTATTGGACAACTATGATTGTAACCAATTTCAAGTCACTGAAAGGATTCTTTTATTATTACTACAATAATCAAGTTTAAGCAAATGCTTTGAAATTGAAAGGGGCACATTTATCTATGGCAACTCTTGATGTTTAGAGTATGACTTTGAAAAGGAAGGTGTTTTATAAATTGTGTATTATTATGGTCAGTATTGTCATTGAGAGTCTATGTTTCTTAAGTTCTGTTTTATACAATTCTGTGGCTTATGTAAATCCTTTACCTGATGTAGACCCTCATGCACAAAAGTATTCTTATTAAATTTTTACTCAACTGGATAATCCTGTTTACCCAAGAGAAGTTAGCCCATTTAAATCCTTTAACTCAAAATATTGATGGGACATCTGCTCTGTGTAAGACCCTATTCCAGTCATCAATGAGACCTTGAAACAAATGAGAGAGAGTGACTTTGCCTTCAAAGAATTTACAGTCTAGTATCTAGTTGGGAGGTTTAAAAAATGCACATAAGTATTATCAAGTGTCATAAGAGAAAAACAACCATGAGAGATTAGATTATAGTCATTTATACTTTTCCTGAATATTTTGTCCCATTTTTGAAATCATCTAACCAGGATATATCCTCTCAATGGGCTCCTTGATGTGAAATGCTATATCTATTTACCATTAAATCCCAGTACCTCAGTCAATGTTTGGCTACTATAGTAGTGGTTCATATTTGTTGCATTGACAGGATCGTACTGAATTGAATCCAGTTGAATAAAATGGAATTACTTGTTTGAGATCTTAGTCTTCAATACCATCAAGAATTATGTTTATCAAGTACTTTGGACATTTCTTACCACCCCTATTTATGCAGCTATTTGATAAAACTGTGTTACTTTTTTTAAGTGAATGCAATATATACTAACAAACATATGGCTGCATTCTAGTTATTCTTCAAGCTACAATGATGGTGTCTATTTTGTGTCTGAGCCAATTATTCTTACAGGCATTGACTGTTGTCAACAAATTTTATTTAGTTTCCTGTTTGTCCCCTGAGATTTACTGTGTCTGGAGAAGTCAGCTCTAAGCATTTACAATATTTGAAATCTTATTAGAACAAATTTGTCATTTCCACCTCCACCCCCTGTCAATTGACTCTTACTATATTTTTACCCTTATTTTCAAAGTTTTATTGTGGCTGTGTCTTGTCTTGTACTTTAAGCTGCTTGCAGACCCATTTTGAAAGTATGGATTTTTTTATTTTTTAGTAGTTGGAAGGCAGTTTTTTATCTTAGTGTGAAATTCAAACACCTGAAAGAAAACTGCCTCCGTATCTATCTTTTTGTTGGGCCAGAATGCTTAACAAGGAAAGAATTTTTTTCAACCTTATTATAAACACAATTGAATACAATTTTCAGTCATGCTAATTGTGTATAGATGGACCCAGTGTTGTGAATGAGCTCATACTTCTCTACAAGCCCCAGTCCCACTAGAGCATTGTGATAAACAACTGTCTAGATTATCTTTTTCTGTAAGCAACTTCCCAGCTAAATGAAACACTTCCTATATAATTAATGCAGCTTCCCCAGACATTTTCTGAAATGAACATTCCAATGAAGAGCTAATTGCTGATTCTTCCCTATGCATCACAGTAAGAGAGTGTATCTGCCAGTCTTGTGCGCTCATAATCCTATGAGAAAAATGGTGGTTTGATAGAGGTGGCACGTTGAAAAACAACTAGTTGTTATCTTACCAGATGGATGGAGCTTTCACAGAGGGTGGTTTATTATAACCTCGTTTTGTGTGGAACTATTAATACAAGAGGAAAAGAGCTTCCAGTGAAGTAAGAAACATTAAGTTTACTATAGATATAAGTTTTTGGGAGCCATTAACCATTTTAACATGTGCTTCAAGGGCTTGTGGAATTGCTCTCCTTGGAGAGACTTAGAAAAATATTGATGGACAACCAATCATCTTGGATGGTTTCAATTAAGAGCAACTAAAAGAAAGTGAGTTTCTGGGGTCCTTTTCAGTTTTAAGAGTCTATAAACAACCCCTTAAATAGATCGTATATGCTTTACCTCAGCAGTCTGGAAAAAAAACAGAGAAGTAAATCAATTAGAAAAGTAAGTTGGTTACCCTTTCAGATCTTTCAGATTTATAGCTTTTATAAACTGTACTTCCAATGCATAGTTATTTTTTAATATATTTTATTGATTTTTTTACAGAGAGGAAGGGAGAGAGACGGAGAGCTAGAAACGTCAATGAGAGAGAAACATTGACCAGCTGCCTCTTGCACATCCCCTTCTGGGGATGTGCCCGCAACCAACGTACATGCCTCTGACTGGAATTGAACCTGGGACCTTTCAGTCCACAGACCGACACTCTACCACTGAGACAAACCGGTTTCAGCCAATTCATAGTTATTAAGAATAGATCTGAATAAACAAATGGCATTCTTTTTGTGTTGAAACATACTGTTTGTATAGAATTCAAGTGAAACTTTGCCATGAATTTCATTGTTATTGATTGAAAGAACCTTCCTCCATCTAGGTTATTATGATTAACCCAAGCTTCTTTCATTTGAAATGTGCTCAGAAAATTGCTCCCAGACCTGCCACTCATTAGCTGTAAGACTTTGGCAAACACTTAAACTTCTTGGGCTGAAATGTCTTTGCCTATAAAACAAGGAGATTTTGTTAAAGTAAATGACCTCTTCTAACTTTAACAGACTCATAGTCTAGGTTGTAATTAAGAAAGATTTGGCACTACTAAAGAAAGGTGGACCTTGGGTTTCAGTAGTGACCGAGAATCTTTCATCTCCTTTATATTTTTTAGATTCTGTTTGTTCCCTAAAATAGAAGATGACACCCACTTAAAGAAAGAGGGACCACCTCCTTTGTTTTGTTTTGTTTTGTTTTGTTTTGTTTTGTTTTGTTTAAGTTGGTTTTCAACCTCTCAGAAAATATACACAGATCATCTGGTCAAAGGAACACATACCTCATGAAAGTAGATTGTCACTTTCTTTTGCTAGGAAGGACCAACAGACAGGTCTCATCTACATGTTCTCAGTCTCTTGGACATGATGAGGACAAGTGAGGTCAGATTTTAGCTGCCCTTTATTAAATTAGAGGGCGGAAATAAGAATCTGGAGCTTTCTAAACCTTGACCAAAAGTTTTTCCTCAGCCTATTGATGCTGCCTTTTCAATTAAAGAAGAGATGGCAAATTTGAGTCATTCAAAG